AGCCCCAAGCCTCACTTCTTGAACATGTTACGGCACTCACCACTGTTGTTAGCATGTTGTCTAGATGTGGCTTTTCCTTACCAGGAGATGCGTAACATACCTACCATCAGCATCAGCCTGAACACTGCAGACACATCAGAGCTTTCAAACAGTTCTTTTGGTTGAACCAAAACCAGCTTACCCTGTCCCTTTGGTACATTAGCTCTGCCAGCTGACTGCCTAGAAGTGGGAGAATCACCTGGTCCAAACAGAAAGAGTGCCGAACTCCTCTGGAAAACAAACATCATGCATAGACTGTGGATGCTCTGAGTAAGACATGGAATTCAGGGACTGGGTTTGCTTCGTGGCTCTGGTATTCACTCGCTGTGTGGTATTCAGAATGTCCACTTAGCTTCTCTGAGCCTCTTTCTGCTGTTATGAAACAGTTATAGAAGCAAAGAGTTCACATTCCCCTTGATAGGTGCCTGAGAATTAAAGAGGATCATGTTTGTAAGTTTGGAGGCCCAGCACAGGCCACTCAGATGGGCACAAGATGGTATTCCCTCGGGCAATAGACAGAAAACACTCCCGATCTCCCCCATGCATATTGAATGTTGTCTGTGGCTGAGTCTACATCCTGCTCTGGTTACAGTCACCCTCCCAGGGGACAGATCGACTCTTGTGTAGATTAAACCTGCTCTTTCAGGCAGCCAAGCTGTCAGGGACACACAAATAATGCACAGTGGAACCAGACACACAGCTGGCGCACCCACGCCACCTTAGGAGAGCTTTCCATGACGGATTCAGGAATCAGTCACCTGTAAGCAGAAGCCTGGCCCGGCGCATGGGCATTCCCATTCATTTATCCTTTCCCTCAAGCTGAACCTCCAGGAGAGGAGCTGAGTACTTCCTGCAAAACCTCTGGCCAAGCCAGGTACATTTCTCCTTAAGCTAACTTAAAAAAAACAAACAACAACAACAAACAGAAACCTCCCTACTTTAATGGCTGAATTAGAAGCTTTCTCGTGTTCCAGGTTAAAGTCACATATGAGAACTTGGAAAACTTTCCAGAGTCAGACGGGGCTGGGCATGATGGAGCACACACCTATAATCCAAGCATTCGAGAGGCAGAGGCAGGAGGATCATGAGTTTGGGGTCAGCATGGGCAATGCAGAGAGACCTTATTTCAAAATAAAAATAAAAGGGGGGGCTGTGACTCAGAGATAGAACACCTGTTTAGCATGTGTAAAGCCCTGGGAGAAAGAGGGATGGGGGGGCAGGAAATGAAAAAGGAGAGAGAAATTAGAAGCAAAATCTCCTGCCCTCCCTAAAACACTCATTTCCTCCTCTCTCCCTCCACTTCCGCCCAACCAGCCAGGGGTCTCTTCCAAGGGACTGCAGCGGGTCACCCTACTGGAGGCCAGTGGAGATGGCTCCATTCTCAAAGCACCAACTAGAGCAGGGTGACCTTCTTCTTGGACCGATGATACCAGAGAGGATCAAACAGCCTGCTGTAGACTGCAGGGCAACCAACCCTAAGAACCACGTCCTGGATGCCTGTGACTCCTCACCAACTTGTGGCTTGGCTCTAGGGGACTCCTACACCAGTGCTCAGAACTGGAGGCTTGCCTAAGTGGCACCTCCACCTCTCACTCACTCAGCGATGTCATTTGTTCCCTATTTCCATGCCAACTTCTCTCTCCTCTTAGGACTTAATCCCCCGCTGTAACTCAGAGCTCGGTCCTATTATCCTAGCCTCCAGACAGGCTCAGACAACCTGTGGTTATTCAGAAAATTAGAGTTCTCAGAGGTCTGTTTGCACAGACAGACAGAACCTGCCCTGCCCAGCACTTGCGGTGATTCACACTAGGCAGCCAGGCCTCCCCCGACCCCCGCAATCAGTCAGATCTTGAACGGTCCCCAAAGGCCAGTATTTGAAGGGCTGGTCTCCTGCCAATGGTGCTCTGGAGGGCTGGAGGAGCCGTTAGAAGATTGCACGTCTGCCAGGATGTGCTGTGTGACCAAAGCAACAGGACCAATTAATTAGTCACGGACTGTAACCACGAGGCAATTAACCTTTCTTGTTTTTAAGCCGATTTATCGGATATGTGCTGCAGTAACAAAAAGCGAGCCCATCCACACATACTCCACTCTGAGCTCCGCTATGATTTAGTCTTGGTTTACGTGATTTCCCTCCTCCAGAAACTTCCTTCTTTTAGCCTGTGCAAACCCTAGATACCTGGCTCTCTGCAGGTCTCATCAGCTCTTCCTCCAATTCCTATCAATTGGTTTCTTTTATACGTTAATCTTACAGCTTTGGTGTAAGAGTTTTTGGACTCACTCTCCATCCTATTCTTCTGCCTCAATGTTACCAACGACCTAAAGTCCTCCCCCAAGCCCCGCCTCCTGAAGGTTCCACCACTCCCCAGTAGTACCAACCTGGGGGCCAAGGCTTCAACACCACAGCAGTCCAGTTATACAAACACATCTCGTGCTTGCATCCCAGACGTACGTTTTCCCAGTCCCTGTGGCGGTGGCTCATGTTACGCTTCAAAACAAAACCAAGATGGTGGCATATACTGGTAATCTCAGCCCTGAGGAGCTGAAGCAGGAGGATGCTGGTAAGTTCAGGGCCAGCCAAGGCTATAGAGACCTGTCCTTCCTCACAACCCAGCTCTCGGGGGTGAGGCTAGAATTTCCCTACCAGACTTACTACCATATGCCTTGACATCACAGTCTTATATAATCAACTAGTACAGTTTAAAAAAAAAAACTTCCTATGGAATTTTATAAACATTTCAAAGGTTAAATAATAAGGAATC